TGGGGAGGGGGTTATGTCCCCATCCTTCAGCTGAGCCTTATGAATACCAAGTAAGCCCACCCTTGGAAGCTGCTAGAGGAAAATATCTAGTCTGGCTACTCTGCATTCCCTGAGATCCTACTGGAAGGATGAATATGCATCCTTCTGCAGGGAGGACACATACCAATAGTATTTGCATGTTCAGGTAGAATACTGCTCCAAGGATTATGAATAACAACTCTAATTGTAATCTAGGAAAAGCATTCATGCCACTGTATTAGGATAGCGGCTATTGAAATATTAAATTATGCCCAAAATGGTTCTGAAAATATTTATGCAGAGGCGACGATTTAAGGCTGTGTCACATTAGCATTGTGAATAGGATCTGAGGCTATCTACTCTTCTCCCTCAGATCCACTCTGCAGGGAGAACAGTGCAGCAAGGAAGCAAAAACTGGAGCAGCCAGAAGCAGAGCACTGCTGTAGTAGGTTGGTATTCTATAAGAGACACCTCTGACTGCTACTTTGTATTCTACAAGTGACACCACACTGTTAGTGCGACGGGGTCTTAGAGTGGCATAATGGGATTCCAGTGTACAAAATATCCCTAAGCAGTACAGAATTGTTTAACGCAATTGCAGACAATGTGCCATCAACACATTGACCTACATTTCAGTCAGCCATCCTCACAGCTGAGGAAGTTCAGAGGATAAGTAGCCTGCATTCTGTTCTAGAGACTCGGATGGCCAATTTATCCAGTCTGCTGAAAGCATGTTGTACTACATTGTATGCAGAAATAAAGCCACATGTTTTGGCTGATTCTGATTACTCACAGAAGCCAGAAGGACCAATTTGCAAGTCCTCCACGGCATTGCTCTGATGAACCCCCACTAAACAACCAGGGCTATCCACTTTTCTACTGTACTGTTAACCATGCTTGCTCTGGAGACTTCAGGTGAGGTCTATGCTTGCATACCAGTTTCTAGGGCGTTCTAACTTTCATGCATACACAAATTTCCACTTTTGCAGTCGCAGTCACCCCCACCACCACTAGCTTATGTACTCGCTCCATTCACACTAGAGGTAGGAACATGAGGGCAAAATAAAGTAGGTGGCTATACCAATCTGGCTGCAAAAGTGGAAATACAATTTAAACAGAGGTCTGCAGGCCCGCCCCCCAATTTAAAAAGGTTCACTATAAAGTATAGACAAGCCAACCAGCTGATGGCATTCACCCAAAATAAAGTCTTCTGAATGGGCCAACACTAATAAGCCCTCCAAGCATTCCTTACCAGTTGGCAGTGTTTACTGTAAGGTTTCAATGATCATTTCCAGAACATTCATGGTTTATACAAGATTTATTAAAACATGGTCACGCAAAGTAAAAATGCAAAAAAATTGCAACAATAAAAACACTAAGTTAAAAAAAAAACAAAATTATATCCTTTGCCCACAATGTCTTATGTTACTGCCGGGGACAGCCTCCACTGTTCAGGGACAGAACAAACGGACAAATGAAACGATCGACCGGAGAAGTTTTGACAACCATAAAAAAAAAAAAAAGAATCTCAAGTTCCACTTGTGATCATCAAGAATCCTGAGGAAGGTTGACACTTCCACAATACACTGCCGCAGGCTACAGTCTGAAAGCTTGAAGTGAACAGTCCAAAAAAACGCATGTGGAAAAAAAAATTGTGAAGAATTGTTCGTCTTGCAGAGCTTAAGACAGACAGGAGTAAAGAGCTGATTTGTGGGTTTTTTGGATGGGTGGGGTGCAATACGCTACAGATGTTCTAAGCAGAAGCAAAATCATGATAACCGTAGCAGTCTGTGAAAAAGTCACCTACAAAAAGGGGGAGACAGCAGAGAGAAATAAAATTAGAATCCTCTGTAGAATGGCCATTGTGCCACAGATCGGTTTAAGATTTGTTTTTTTTTCTTTTAGATTTCTCTGCTCCTGTCTCCCCACAACAAAAAGGTTTGTTGAGGATGTGCCTGGCGGTGACAGGGGAATCTGGGAAAACTCGCGAGTCAAAAAAATTGAGGTGTGAGATTTCCTCACAATGTTTAACCAAAGCAGAGAAATGTAAAATGACTGACAGAATTAACGCACATTATTACTTTTTAATCAATTCAAGGAAAGCCATCCAAATCTAGTAAGGGTTTTGGATGAGGGTGAAGTAGGAACCCTCCTTACATAGCGACACCTCCCAATAGGGCACCAGCCTGAAAAGATCCAACTGGAGTTCAGCTTTTTGCCATCAGTGTCAGACAACACAGTTCAAGGGCACCGATAACTGACGGCAAGAGCAACAAAATGCTGGCGAACTTCAGTGGTAGGCAGGGCCATGGAGAGGAGCCATTATGAAGATGTTACCTAGTCATTCCCCCACTCAGAACCAAGTTAACAGATTTGGATGGAGTGATCCTTAAGCTGTACGCAAAACCTACAAAATAGGGGAGGTAGTCACCAAGTAGCCCATCAATTCACAAGGAGCCTGGGGAACCCAGTTCCTAGTGAACAGGCCAGATTGTCGCCACAAAATGACTGTCTCCGCTTGTTTATAGGCAACAGGTACACTTCATAAAAGCTAGCTAGTTACATACTGCTCATTTATGAGAGGACTGAAACCAGAGACATAACATGTGAAGATGCATACGTGCTGCAATGGGCAATTTCTATGCACTTCTAGTGCAGAGAGAATGACCTTCATTGACATACAGCCCATACACACCTGAACATTAGGTTTGTGTACATTTTACACCAACAGTACTCAAAAAAGAAGCAGCAGACTTTAGCCAGTCATTAAACTGGTTCCGGTTTGCATATAGTGGGCCTTTACAGCAACACCATGCAGAGGGAAACAGTTTAAATATTGATGCATGAACATTTGCTGTAATAAAGTGCAGTAACACGTCCACTTTCTGGGCAAAAAGGTAGCTTTGGTCCTCTATTCAAGTGGCCTTTCCAGAAGGATTCCTGTCCTCTTGCAGGAGGATAAGCGGGTACAAGTAGGAAGCGCCCTGGTCAGGATTCAGTTTGCCTGCATTGTTTGTTTTTGCAAGACGTGGACTGATGAGTGAGCAGCTCAACGTGCTTAACGATCGGCAGGCAAAAAAACAACTAACCCTGCTGCTAGGTCCAGCAAATGAAAAAAACAGACATACCCAGAAAAGATATGCAATGATCAGACCACTGTGTGCACCCTCCCCACAAACAAATACCCAAACACCGCACATATGACACCTTCAGTGTAGTAATGCATTGCAGTGGCAGCACACCCATTGTATTGCGACTTACAGTAGTCATAGCTTAATGGCATTACCAGTCATGCCAAGCTTCATTTTTATTGGAACAGGTTAAGATGAGATGTACTAAAACAAGCCCTCAGACCGCAACTTACCTGCAAAGGGCATTTACACAATGACCGTCAACCGTAGAAGATCTCAAGCTAGTCCTTTGCAATTTATGGCTTTTAGGTGTTACTACAGCAAGCAGTGCCGACCAAGTTAATTTAAAAGAGCGAATATAGTAACTATAAAACCAGACTTTTTTTTACAAAGTTGAACATAAAAAGTGCAAGAATATATATTTTTTGACTTGTGTACATTGCGTACCGTTTTGATGACTTGCACCCATGGAATATGTAGAACATGAATGGTTACTTACTGTATCCAGCTGTCGCGGAATTCTGGTAGTTGTAGTTGCCCCCGTAGCCTCCTCCATAGCCACCTGTATGAATAAAGACATTTAGAAACCAACACAGGAACTCAATTTGCTGAAACCAAATACTCTCCATAATGAAATGGTCGCAGGGAGAAACATGCCATGTTTCAACTTTACAAGACCACCAGCATTAAAAAGAAAGAAAACCAAGAGTGCCAAGACTATACCTGAGTTCATGTAACCATGGTTGCCACCAAAGCCACGACCCCGTCCTCTGCCACGGTTCATTCCTCCTCTACCTCCACGCCCGCGCATAGGTTGTGGTGGAGGCGCTTCATTGTACATCATCCCAAAGCCTTGATTATGCTGCAGAGAAAGTCACATTTCAGTAAGACAACTAAAAACACACAACCAGCCAAAATATTCTAAAGAGTGTCAATTACCTCGTAGCCAACTTTTCCACCTCTGGGACCACCCCTGGGCATCATTGGTGGTCTTTTCTTTTTGGGGGCCTCAGAGTACAGGTTGTAGTCAGGGAAGAGCTTTTCTAAAGCAGCAAGTGCTGCGTAGGCCTTGGCAACCTTCTTGTTAGAGCCAGAACCTTGGAATTTCTGGTTGTCCACTTCAACCTATAAACAGGCAACACACATTAGTATACAACCCAAATTTATAAGGGTGAAGTCATCTGATGACCGAGAGCAGGGGAAAGCAAACTTCAGCCCTCCGGCTGTTTGTGGTGCTAAGGCTGTTAAGGCATTGCAAGACAGCAGCCATAGGTATGGCTGAAAGAGGGAAAATGGAATGTGTAGGTTCACCACAGCTGGAGGTAAAGATGTCCACCCCTGGCCTAGAGCAACACAAGCCAATTCAAATGTTAGTGGTTAAGGGTGACTTACCTCCATTACAAATCTCTTATCATGGCTGCCACCAGTTTCAGATATGAGCTCATATTTCAGCCCTCGCCTCTTCTCATTCAGCTCCATGACTGGGTTCTTTCCATGCTTTGTGAGAATGGGGCCTTGCTGCTTGGCACTCTAGAAAGAGATGGCAACCAGGGTTAAGATACAACAGCGCCCAGTGTTGGAACAGATACAAAACGGCACAAGAGTCTATACTCTAGTTCAACTTTCCATTTACCTCTGACTGGTCTCCAGTGGTAGAATCACCTTGTGTAGATTCTGGCTGAGATGGAGTCTGGACCACAGGCTTCTGTTCCACTTCCTCAGGAACCTCTTCCTTTTCTTCCATTCCAGTAGGAATACCCATGTCTTGCAAAACCTGACCCCAAAAAAATATTAAGTTGTCTGCACAGAAACTAAGCAAACCAAAAAGCATTTTTTCTTTTGGTCCCTTCTCACCTTAACAGCAACATGAAGCTTAGCAGTCTTCTTTGAGGGCCCAGAGGCTTCAAAAGTCTTCTCATCCACTTCCACAGACATTGTAAAGATGGGTGCGTGGACAGGTCCAGTCTGGGACAACAGTTTGTACTGCAGACCTGGCTTCAGCTGGTTCAGTTTCATCAAGGCATTCATAGCTTGAGGTGGTTCTGCCTTGTCATCTGCAAAGGATCCCAATCATTAACACAAAATAAAAATCTGTCCAAGGAAAGAATTCTTTAACACTAAGCCCCAAAAACAGAATAGAGAAACTGCCACCAGACAATGTTCTTCCGCAGACATTTCAGATGTGTAAATGACACAAACTGTATGGGTCACTCAGGAGGGGCTACAGGGCACAACGTTAAATATCCCACATGTAAGCACTCCCGAGAGGATCCAAGCGGGCAGATAAGAGGTTGCAGACTTAAAGCAAACCCAATTTATCCAATTATTTCAAGCGCCAGTTTTAGCAAGTTCTTCGTTACACATTTGTCAAGTTAGAATACATTTTGGCACAGCATGCTAAAAAGTCATCAGGAAACTTGAAAGCACTCAAGCCTATAACCCTCTGCACCATGTTGGACCCACCCTTGCGAAACCCCTATACATAGATGTTCTGCGGAAGTCACACCGGCTGTTGCAGTTTGAAGTAGATTGGTATAGTACATTCTGGTTCTAGGACAGCAACATCGGCTTTGAAAACTAGCCAACAGAAGCAAAAGGGACAGTGGTAGTATGAACTAAACACATCAGAACACAAGTTCCACCCTTCCTTATAGTCCTCAATATACCTTTCTTCTGAATCTTCTTTTTCTTCTTACTTGGCGATTTGTCTTCTCCGTCCTCCTCAATGGGGCGTTTCAGGGCTGGAATAACATAGGTAGTGCTAGGAGGAATCTGGACTGTGAAGCAAAATTCAAACAGATTGTTAGAACCAGAATAGTTACAGGACAGCTTTTACAGAAGGTAATAAATAATATATACCTGTGTAATCAATGGGTGGGTCAGGTTTAGTCTTCTTGGGCAACTTTGAGGGCAGAGGGTCCATGCCCAATACTTTATGAAGTTGGCCAAATGCTGCCAATCTGAGAGCATGCTGTGGGAGGAAAAAAGGGGAAGATCAGTATCCAACGTAGCAGCCAAGACCACTGTAGACTCCTTACGCCGATAGAGTACTAACACCATACCTGTGCGCTGTGGGTAATGTCTTCACGCTGCTGTCTTTCAAGATGACCAAGGGCATCAACGGCTTCTTTTTCACATGGATCATAGAGGCCAGGACCATCTACAAAACAGGATTTAGAACAGTAAATGTCACTGCACAGGTAGGTTTATAAAGATCAAATGGGGGGATCAGCTCTGGATCCACACCTCTAGAGAACTAAATGAAACCCTAAATCGAAACAGGGATTTTCAAGTATAACCAGATAGTCACAACATGAAGACTTAAAATATTAGCCATGAATTTTATTTACACACTTAAAACCATATGCATGAAACATGCAACATTAAAATCATGCTGGTGACCCAAAAACCTACATTATAGCAAAATGTGTCTAGAAAAAGAGCAACAGTTTTTCTAGGCCTAAAAAAAAAAATGTTTGTTACCTTCACACCAAAAAAGGACTGAAAGTGCAATACCTGTACATAATTCTCGGTTTTGGATCACCCAGCATGATTTTCATAGTGACCAAGCTGGACTAAAGTAAACACATTTCCACCTTTAAGCGATTAACATTTGTTGTAATGTAGAGGTGCAGCGATGAGTAAATTTTCATGACCAACATTGCTGGCTTTTAAATTTATGGACTTTAGTAGTAGGGATGTACCGAGTACTCGCTGCCAGGCTTCCCAATACCGGAAGCGCAAGTATTGGGCTAGGTATCAGAGCATTTGGGAGTACGAGTCCTCGGCATCGATACTAGTATCGGTATCCATGCCAAGTACGCCGATGCATTGCCCAATACTTGAGCTTCCGGTATCAGGAAGCCTGGCAGCGAGTCATTACAAGCTGCCCAGCTTCCCAACCAATCAGGAAGCCGTGGGGTCGTGTAATGACGCAGTGCCCGGCTTTTATTGGCCAGAAACCCGACTCCATGCTTTCTCGTCACCTAGTGACAAGCTTGGAGACTGCTTCCCTGCTATTCAGAAAGACGTGTGGCGAGTCATTACACACCGCCTGACTTCCTTAAACGGGATTTCTGGTATCGGCAAAATCTATTAGATATAGATGGTAAAAATCTGGAGTATTGCAGTGTGCATTGACTAATTTAACAAAATATATATAAAAAAGACAAAGCTTTCGAGAGTTGACTTCAGGTGAGAAGCAATACTTGGCAGTATTGCTTCTCACCTGAAAGTAAACTCTTGAAAGCTTTGTCTTCGTTATATATTTTGTCAACTAAGGGTATCATTGCACACTGCAATACTCAGTTTTGTTTTTTTATATAGCTTGTCTACTGGGCTAATACAGCTAACACATTATATATATATATATATGATAGATAGATAGATAGATAGCACTGCAGGCTGCAACAGACTGTAGAGTAAAGAGTTTGCCATTTCAAAAAGGAGTCATGAGGTGGACAACAAGTGTGTGCATATACAGAAACTCATATGCTTGCTTCCCTTAGTGCACATTTCTGGGTTTTTCTCCCTTTTAAATACCTTTGCAGAGGTATTTTTAAAAAACCATGCCAGCAATGTGCACAGGCAGCAAGCATATGCAGTTGCGGTATATGAAGACACCTGTTAGCAGTCCTCTTCATTCCATGGAAATGGCCGCCTCTGTGCTCTGCAAGCAATGTGTGTATGTTACAACCAAGCTCCCTTCTCATCCTCCCGACCCTGGTGTCAGACTGAATTTCCTGTGGAGAAAGTGGAGTTTAAGATTCAGGGCCAATTCACACCATGTCCGGATCATCTCCAGAACAGACCGTTTCCGGACCCAAAATGCACCTCAATGTATCCCTATGCCATTTCTGGCCTCTGTTCACACCTGCAAGACAATTTTAAGCACAAAAAAAAAAAAAAAAATCCAAATGCAGAAAGAAATCAATGCACTGCGTTCCAGGTCTGGTTCAGAAAATGGTGTGAACCTGCCCTCAGGCCTAAATGAAAAGCCTGCAATGCGAGTCATGAAGGTGAAAACGGGCTTTAAGATAATACAGACATGAAATCAGTTACCAATGTGGATAACACCAAAGCCTAGTACAGTACATGGCTAAACTAGTCACTTCAAAAAAAGTAGGAAATTTTCCGACCTGTACCTGGCATCAGTATTCCAGAGCTGAGGCATTCAAGGACTCTTCTGAAAGCTTCACCAGCTCCCATGGGCCTGTTTGCTGTTCCAATGGCTTTCTCACAAAGCAATTCAAGAGGCTGCAAGGGAAAGAGTTCAGTGTAAGGAGTAAAGTGACAAGTTTCAGCATTTTCTCTCAGATCAAGAAACCACAAGCCAGCATGGATTTCAAGACTAAACTAAAACCCCTCTGAAGGAACCCTCAAAATACAGCATGGTAAGCAAGACTGGTCCATTCTAAAAAAAAAAACAAAAAAAAAACGCAAAGCATTTAAAGCAGACCTTTACCCATATCTTTAAAATAAACACCTTTAGAAATGTTAGTAAGGACAAGCTACAAACATACTCCTACATAATTGCTGGCTTTGCAGACCTTATGTCTCTTTTCTTCCCCAGCCTGGCAGTGGCCATGTTTACATCTCCAGGGAGAAAATGCATTGCTTTGGCAAGCTGAAGTGATTTTGCCCTTTCAAAAGCAGGAAGTGAAGGCTCTGCAAGTGTATTTAAAAAATAAAATTTTACACCCAACGTGTGTTCTTAATCATACATAGGGGGGATGCATGGGAGAAATTTGATTTGTGTAAAGGTCCGCTTTCATAAATTCATATGAGAAATACCCTCTGAAGTTTTAATCATTGTTACTTCATTAAAAGGAGAACTATGGGAAGAGTGAAATGCTCTTACCCATTAGTTAAAGCCATCGTGAGACACTACAGCGGTCACTGCTCCCTGCAGGATTCCTTCAGCGAGGAATAGGGCAGGGGGTGCACAGAGAGGCAGAGCCAGCTGTCAGACAGCAGTGTTCCCAGCCACAGCGCTGTGCTGTGCTGTCAACAGCCCCACTATATGTCGTGTCTCGGGTCACAGGAGGACATTAGGAAAATGTCTTCCTGTGACCCAACACTAAAAAAGGTTTGACCATAGTTCCCTTTTAAAAGCCTGTCCTTAAAGAATTCCTGGAAGAATTTGGAGGCATTAGGATTATAACAAGCACTTACCCATCCTCTTAGTGGTTCCCATGTAGGCACACGAGTGCACAGGTCACGCAGGACACGGATGACAATAACACAAGACTTCAGACCATTAGCCCTAGCCTGAGACAACGGAAAACACCATTAGTTGTCAATGTTACGTTAACACAAGCCAGAAAAAAAAGAAAGGAAATTAAAACAGAAGCCACATTTTGTAGTGCTACTTTGTCAAGGGTAAAAATGTGAACTATGTTGAAGGATAAGCCTTGTGTTACATTAGCAATTACTGTAGAGCAGAGGCAGAATTACTCTTAAAACAAAGCAGCAACTAAGAACTAAGCATAATGGCACCTTATGAAAAGGTGTATTTTCAATGTATTCAACTTGTGCTTCCTCAGCTGCCTGTGTGAGTGACAGGAGCTAGATCAGCACAGCTACTGCTCGTGTTTATTTAAAATCTTAAGTCATGTGGACTGTGTTAATTTAAAAAAGGTGAATGTACAAAAGAAAAATGGCATTTACTACTTTAAGACAGAAATAATAAAATGCAAACCTGGAACCACTTGGCGTGTCGGAGCGACGCCAATGCAGCAAGGCATTTGTGCCTGTCCAGAACGTCCGGTGGATCGCTGACTGATAGCGTTTCTATTCATGGATAAGAAGACAAGGCACGGTTTGACCAAGGGGTTGTCTGTCAGGTGGACGGGGATGAGGCAGCTTCCAGAGGGCAGTGGGGCTTCTTGTACTACCACTCACATAATACCCTGGAATCTGCTAAACTGCTCTAAGACAACAACAGCAACACATATATATATATATATATATAAAATAATCCCCAGCTCCCCATCCCCAAACCACTCAAACACAAGCTTCAACCTCTACTATATACATAGCCTAAACTGACATGGATAACAATAAAGCAGCAGTCTGCATAACAAGACATTGAAGGCAAGATGTATAAAAGATAGCTAAACGAATAGTTTTGGTCAATCAGACCACACGTATATATCCATTTTCCAGGCAACACATAAGAGTTACACATTAAGAATGACAGAATGCTGCTTTAAAGTAACGAGACCCGAGAAGAAAATAAAAGCAAAATACAGATGAGCTGCAGCTAGCAACTTAAACTACAATTCTGCACTAAACCTTCCACCCAGCTCGACTGCCCTGGCCACAGCCCATGACAGAGAGAGTCCTGTTGGTCAAAGGTCCAGCGTCCCTAAAAATCGACAAACTAGAAGTCTTGATACGAGATCAGTTGTCAGAACCATATTGCAAAAATATTCAGAGCAGCACAACAGATCAATGGCGAGTCTATGCTGCAGCAAGACCATGTCTCATGCCCAGGGTTTTAGATAAGGCTAGCCCATCTATGGGAAAGGTAATGACAAAATTTTGATTTTCATTTAACAAAAAAATAAAATAATGTGGTCTAAGCCAGTCTAACTTTATCCAAAACATTGCATTGGTTCCTGGTGCTTCACATGCTGACTAGTCCCTTCCCAAAGAAGGGCAGGGGCTATCATTCTTGCTGCAACACACACTGCCCAAATACATGCAAAAAACACCATGTATCTAACATCTAATGTGATTCAGCATCACAGGGGCCTGCAATTTTTAAACGTTTAACAGGCCCCTCTGACACTGTATCATGACTAATATCCACAGATGGGGCCACTCATTTACAATACAGTAGGCAGCAAATCCCAGAAAGGTGGGGAATTACAGTATTTACTGATTAGCTAATGCTGATAGTGTATTATAAAAAAAAAAGAAAATCAGACATTAGGGAGCAGATATATTATTGGGAAGCCTACAAATACAGTACAGGAAGAGGGAACGGGTGGGAAATAATGTGAGGGTTTAGGGGTCGAGTGGGGGCCAGTGTTACTTATCAGCCGTTTTCTGCCTTCCGTACCTCCAGCACTCATCTTTTCAACCTCCTCCCGAACTAGAGTGGAGGTCAGGCGGATGTTAAGTGTGAGCTGTGGCTCCTTTGTGTTCTTGATTACAATTGTGGCCTCCCTGATATTCGGCACAATTTCGTACTTCTCGTCAGACACAGTCTGCAATTGAATTCAAAACCATTAGCCACCCATAAACTCATTTCAGCCACACATTTAGCAAAACAAGGCTCCAAAACGTACCACAAATTGAAGAATAAGGTTGTCCGACACCTTCCTCAGAAGGGAAATTGTGGGCTTGTCTTTACACAGAAGAACCAGTTCCAGATCCAAATCGCCTTTCAAAAGAAGCCCCTTGGCAACAAGTCCAACCCTCATCACACCACGGAGCGTCCTGGTGGAGTTCTCTCCGGTTTTCGATTCGCTAAAAAGGAAAAAAAAGTTAAGATCCTTAAATGATACAAGGAAGCACTAAATGAATCAAATGCTTGCATGTTGGGGACTTGAAGTTTAAAAATATGTTCAAACACTCAAGGTCAATTGGCAAAAAGGAGTCCAAACAGGGATAGCTCAGTCCTGAGTTTGCCTACACAGTCTATCGAGTACTAGAGAATGCACAAAACATTACCTTGCGGAGGATAGAAAAAAGGTTACATTGAAACGAAAGCAAAGCAATGGATGTCAATTCTTGTTATAGCAGGACACTATAAAGCCAATTCTCAGGGTAGAGGATATTCCTGGTAAATAAGAGTCCAGTTACAACTCAACCAGTTGAACAGGCAAAACCCAACACGCCTCAATAGACTTCAATGCTAAAAGTGCAGTAACAAGCAACTGAAATACAAAAATAACTAAACTGCATCGTAAAAGATTTGCTGTACATTATACGATGCTTTAAATTCCAGAAAAGCCTGAACGTAAAAAAGTTATATAGAACAGTTCCTATCAAATGAAGCCAGCTTCAAATATTTACCCATCCTTTCCCTCTTCTGTAGTCTCTTCTGGGGTCTCCACTTCCGGCTGTACATTGTCTCCAGTCTGGACCTTCTCTTGCTGGTCAATCCAGTCGGACACAGCTTTCAAGGCCCTTTCTGTGTGTGACACCATGTTCTGGACAGCCTCAAGTTCCTCTTGAGTTGGATACACCACGGAGTGCTTTGCCATGACATGGCGGTCATCGTTCAGGAAGATGCGCATTGGACGCTGAAATTTGGAGGAGCAGAAGTTAAGCCAAACACCTACATGAGAAAAATAAAAACTGAAGTTCTCCAAGCAAAATATCCTCAACTCACCATTGTTGGATTTTAAATGTTGGAACACTCAACAGAAATGCTTCCCAGGGGTAAAAAGATCTGCAATGCAAAAAAAGAAAAAAAAAAAAAATCAGCAGCCACAAAATGATTACAAAAGGGGACCATTAAAACATCTACCTGTACCCAACTAGAGTAATGTGTGAATCTCCAGGGAAAATATGGACCCCCAAACAATTAAGCCAGTGAAAATAACACATGCCCAATTTAAAAACAGCAATTTTCAAAGTCGTCAGTCTCTTAAAGCAAAATCTCAAGGCACCTCAAAAGGACATTGTTCCCCAAAGAACTTGATAGCAAATCCTAGACAGGGGTCTAGCATAATTTTAAGGTGACTTGGAGGATGGATACAAAAAAAGCAATGGAGTCTCCTCCTTGACAGAGCCACCTTTTACGTCCGACACATACTGTCCCTTCACAGAGCCCCCGTGGAAATTTTAAGGCACCCCTAAACATACCAACCCGACAACTTTTAAGTTATTTATCACCCATCGAGCAAAGTTCATATATACACTTACAAAAGCCATACTACACACCATCAGTCCCCATCAAGGTGCATAGAGCCCTGTAGCATTTTTCATGATTTCAATACACAAGTGCAAAGATTCGCTATAGATGTGCCATTGTGCACCACTCAGCATGCTCTATTGCTACAGCACCACTTTTGAACAGATTATAGAACACAAGTAAAGCTAGGGCCATTGGGGCAGTCTGCAATCATCACAAGGACATGGTTGTATTCAGCTCCACAGACCGAATACTGGGAGTAAGATTGAACTTTGCCAGAACACAATCATTTGCGTGGATCTGCACCAAACTTCACAGCTCCCTTTCTCAGAAGGGAACAGGAACAGTCTACACCAGACAAAATAGCATTAGGCAGTCTAGATGTAAACATAAAACAAACTTGTCTGAAGCTAAAAATGTGTGATTAGTTTTGTTTCCTCGTTACAGGAGAGAGAGAGGTGTTCTGCAATAAAGGCTTCTTGCCTTTCTCCTTGTAATCTTTCTACTGGAGCTTCACATGAACAGCTCAATGTACCAGTCTGCCATCTTCCGGATGCCATAATTAAACTGCGTGCAATCTGAAGAGGACGGGGAGATGCGAGGGCTGACTAGGGAGCTTGCAGACATTGAAATCACTGGAGCAGAAGTATACCCAGACTTAGTTCTGCTTTAAATCTGAATGGTTCTTAAAGAGGCAAGCCTATAAAAAGAGCAGCAAGTCAGATGAACATCATTAGAATGATAGCAGAGTCTAACTGGTCCACAGACTATTGTTCTTTTCCACTGTCTGCAATTTAAAGTAGCAAGGCTTCCATTGCATCCCACCACATAATCTAACTCATGCCCGAGATCTGAGCATGACTATCACATTAGCCAACACTTGCAGCATCTGAAGACAAACATTTCCATCTACACAGATTCATATCTGCTGCATCTTACATAAGACATTTTAAACATTTGGAAACTAATCTGAGATTGAGTTCTATATATAGAACAAAATGCAATACCCAGCCTTAGCTGATAAACCAAATGGCCTGGCACCAGCCTACAAAGAACAGATTGTACACAAACTAAAGTCACCTATAGCCAGGGCTTGAAAAATCCACTTGTCAGTGACGAGAGGACGGTGGAGGCCAACGAGGAGCTTGCCGTCTGTTGTTATTACACGACCGGCCGGGAGCTTTACATTCAAGTGATCGGGCGTCTCTAGAGACACTCAATCGCTTGTATTAGCAGCCGTCACTGCCATTGCCGGTCCCGAGATCTGTGCCCGATAAAAAAGGTGGGTACCGGCAATGGCAGTGACAGGAGATCAAAGGGAGTTCAGTACACGAACTCCATTTGATCTCCCAGTCCCCAAATGCAGGAAGTGATGCGTTACATCACTTCCTGCATTCAGTGTCACTCTCCAGCTACAGAAGCTGATGAAGCAGATCTCTGCTTCATCAACTTCTCTGGGGGTCCCTAGGTGACATTAGGGGTCTTGGAGACCCCCGATATCTCCATAAAGAGGACCAGTCATGTAATAGCAATAAAGTTGTGTAAAAAAAATCCATGTAATCCATGTTTTCCCTTCTCTTTGCTGCTCTTCCTTTTAAATCTGTATCTGTTCTCATGCTAGGCAGATTTTGTTTTACAGCAGACTGCCTGTCTCAGAAATGGATACATGGTGTCTGTGTATACATTTGTATAGGCTTGTAACCTGAGCCAGCACTACAGGAAGAGGCACTCAGCTGCAAAGGGAAGTTCTCCCCCAGCATGAGAAGACGAGGATTTAAAAGGAAGAGCTGCAAAGAGAAGGGATACTACCATGGATTACAGTAAGGTACACATGACACTATTGTTTTATGTTAAAAAATCTGAGGGTTTAATGTCACTTTAAGTTGAATTTGTATACAAGTCAGAACATGTACATTTTTTATTTCACTTTTTTACATTTTTTTTGTCTCTAATTTTATTTTGATGCTGGGAGCAATAGCCAGCCTGCTATTGGATATTTCAAATTGCAATAGCAAGCTGGCTATTGCATCCACCCACTGTCAATCAGCAGAGGAGGGGCTTGAAGGAGAAAGTTCTATTGGGTTCTCCCATGCTGATTGACAGCAGGCAGGTGCAATAGCCAGCTTGCTATTGGCTATTGCATTTTAAAATATCCAATAGCAAGCTGGGTATGGCTCTCAGCCTGCAGATGAGGCGGGGTGTGGGGCAGAGGTGCAGCGGCCGGCCGGGGGAACAGAGAAGCAGACGGATCAGGGGAAGACAGCAGCGGAGGTGCGGGAGCAGCGGTCTGTGTCCCCGCTGCCACTGCCAACACAGGGACACAGGCCGCTGCAGCCACACTTCTCTTAAAATGTACTGGTGGCTGCCGGTACATTTTGGAGTACTGTGGTTCCCGGCTCGTAAGTACGGATTGTCCGCAACCCAGGGACTGCCTGTACTTAGAAATTTGTCCTTACACCCCACATATTCCAACCAACATCATTATGAAGGGCTTACTTACTGCCCAATAGGAAGGCACCTAGAGTATTTTCGGGCTGGTAAGCTGATATTACCTGAAGCAACAGAGCTTTGCTGTATCAGGACAGCCCGGGGTTCAGGAATATCAGCAAAGACTGCAAGCACATGCTGGAAGTTCTAGCTGTCTGCACTATACAAGTCTTTTCCTTCATTAAAAAGGAGCATGCAACATTTCCCCTTTCCACAAGATGGAGAACAAAAACCACTACCAGTATGTAGCCAGTACATAGCCATGGGCTGCTTTTTAATTGGAGGGAAAAAATAGTTCCAAAGCAGACAGCATGTGTCAACGTAGTGACGCAAACAAGTCATATCTGCAGACATTGGAGGAAGTACTTGTTGCTTAGAGTGACCCCATGGCCCTTCTTGTACAGGCATGTTCCTTAGTAAGATCAATCCAGTGATGACCCAGTCACTAACCTGAGCATGGAAGCCAAGTCCTATTAGTGTGGCATGGATTCTTCAATGAACTTCTACATTTTACAGTTCTAAAAGGTTCTGCGCATTAAAGTAGATCTAAAGCCAATTCTCTTTTGGCTACAGTAAGCCAAGTTTTACCACAGGGAATTTTGACCTCCTCATAAATACTACAAGGTTAAGTGTACAATACAGCTAACTATATCATACAACAATTCATATTTGGTCATTTGGTCACATGATCCTTAGTGCATATACCTATAAACATTACTGGTCTAAGAATATTGTGCCACTCGCATCACATCAGAATCAGGGTGTGGGACATGGCACCAGGACTGTAGATATTGCACATAGCAGAGAATCTAATATGCAAAAATTTCCCATACAGTTCTTGAGAGAAGACTACATGACCCAGTCCCACATCATCAATTCTGGAAAGTGGCACAATATTCTGGTACCATCCTTTTTTTGTATGCACATGCACTTTGAGTAACAAATATTAAATGTTTATGTTACATAGTAAACATGTATAAATCATGCTACTGTGCAAGCATTCTCCCTTTAACCATACCACCCTTGTAAATCTTGACATTGCGGTCTGTTAATACAGATAAACAGACTTATTTGGACATTGTATAGGGGGCAAGTGTGGACTTTGAGTGAAGTTATGGACATGAGGGGTTGCAACAGTTATTGCCTTTTGAGTGATGTGTCACCAACATGGTTTTACTGTCCATGTTAATGATTTTTAAAGAAAGTCATGCTATGTGTAATCACCAACATGGACTTTATACTGAACTACATGCATCTGACAACCTTTATCAAAATAATTAAAACGGGAGGATGTGATATCTAGCCCCCATCTCTACTCAATATTTTACTTAAAGCGGACCTTTACACTCAAATAAAAGAATTCCACCAATGCATCCCTCTATGTATGATGATTAATAATACCAGACACGTCGGGTGTAAGATGCTGTGATTGTGAAATAATGACACTTGCAGAGCATTCACTTCCTGCTTTGAAAGGGTAAAATGACTTCAATTTGCCAAAGCAACGCACACTGGGATTGCCTTAGTAGGGCATTGCTGGGAAATCTAATGGAAATGAATTTTCCTACCTCGAGATGATGTGCATGGTCACATGTCCTAGTCACATGTGCCAGAAATAGAGGAAGTAACAGAAGATCTAGTAACCTGCCCTTGGTAAACATGGCCACTGTCAGAAGACTGGGGAAGAAAAGATGAAGTATGCAAAGATTGCAAAGCCGCCAATTATCTAGAAGTATGGGATTGTAGATTGTCATTACTAAACACTTCTAAAGGTGTTTGTTATTATTTTAAAGATCTGGGTAAAGTTTCACTTTAAAGTGTATTCCACTTCCGCCGTCACATTTGAGAAAACCTGTTATGTTTAAGCGTTTTTTTTAAATAAATTAACTTTTAGCCGTTTCTTTGGTGAAAGTATTTGTGAAGATTCAAGGCTGCCGAGAAGATTAAAAGTGAAAGTCAAGGGAGCTTCCTCATTGCCTTACACTGCTTATAAGTCTTTAACCCTTTGTTGAGCCCCTTCCTACACATAACATAGGGGAGCTAGG